AGGGTAAGCTGGGACAAAGTGAGAGAGTGGCATGGACATATATACACTACCAAATGTAATATAGCTAGCTAGTGGGAAGCAGCCACATAGCACAGGGAGACCAGCTCGGTGCTTTGTGACCACCTAGAGGGGTGGGATTGGGAGGGTGGGAGGGAGACGCAAGAGGGAGGAGATATGGGGATATATGTATATGTATAGCTGATTCACTTTGTTATAAAGCAGAAACTAACACACCATTGTAAAGCAATTTTACTCCAATAAAATATGCTAAAAAAAATATATCCATTTTGTTTGGCCAAGAGCACTACAAGGGCCTGAGGCTGACACTAGCCACCTCACGCAAGTTCATGCCCTAAATAATAGCCCTCAGAGTCGCGTGCAAGTTTGAGTGCCTGATATGACTCTCCTAACAGCCCTGTGATTAACAGTCTCCTCCACCTGCCAGGGCCTTCCCCTTGTGTGCCATTTGATAAGGCCCCAAACCCCTGCTCTTTTTGGTTGGAACTGACCAATTTGGCCTTAGCCTGGGAACCCAAAAGCGCTACACCCATGAACCCAAATAAAGGCATGAGCTCAGGTCCAGCCTCCACTTCTGCCTGCACTCTGACGTGGCCTTTATATGTGGCCCCTCAAGAAGAGTCCTGTACTTCCTCCAGGGCTTGGAGTAATGAACTGCTTTATTTCAATTTCTCTTGTGGTCTTTGTTGAACTAAGGCTAGTCATTTGTCATCCTATGCTCCACTTAACAAATGTTAGTCTAACAAATTTATAATAGTAACGTTATTTGACCACTCCAAGGGTTTTACAGCTTTGGAAAGAATTTAAATGTCCCTAATTAGGACAGCACTTTTTAGGCCAGAGGTGGCAATGCTGAATATTGTAGGACATTGTCTGTAGGCAAAGGGACCAGTGGATATGGCAGAGCAAAGATGAACTTGGGTGGAAATTGAGCAAAATCTAGAACATGGACAAATGTCAGAATTATATATCTACTGTGAACAATTCTCTTATCAATATAGAGTCCATCCAAGTCTTACTTCAACTTCCTTTCAAGGTTCACATCCTACTGATTTCTCTCAATGAACTCTTGTTTACCTTAGATTATTTGTTCTTCTCCAAACTGCATATAAATATAAATGCTATTCCTTCTAATTGTGATACACTTCTTACCCTTCTTTTCCCATCTGGAAAACTCCTACTCATTCCTTAGGGCCAAATTCAAATGTTGTCTTCAATGTTACTTTCATTCTTCTTCCTGATCCTCCATCAGAAATATTTTTTTCCTCCAATATAGTTCCCACTGTGACCTTAGTAAACTAACCATGTCATTTTATGATCATTTATTCACATCCTTTCCTACTAGATTAAGAATTATTTGAGAGTCTTTGTGTCATATTCATGTCGGAATCCTTGGCATCTATCATAATGCTTAGCATAGAGTAAGTCTGGTAAATAAATGAATGGATGGTTTGAAGGAGAGATGATAAATATATACCTTTGAATCACTCTTATGCACTCTTATGTCACTCATTAATTCATTCAGTCAAGCATACATTTAGTCAGAAAGAAAATGTGTATTGAATACCTCCTATGTTATTGCCAGAAGTATTATTTACATCATTAGATTGAGAGGATTGATTTTTTTCCAACATTCAATATCCACCATTCTCCTCCTGACCATCCTGACATTGTGAGCTGTTCAGTCTCCCAGTCCACAGTAACTAAGAGCTGTCTCCCATACTCTTTACCCTGGAGGCTATTGCTGCTGCACAGCTTAGTAGCTGAGTTCTCCAGAGAATCTGTTTCCAGATTTGATTGATGCCTGTGTGCAACCCTGTAGCCATTTGGGGGTAAGGTCAATAGTTCTGTGAGGGTTTCTGCTCTTTGATGCTGTGGAGAGGCAGCTTATGAGCAATGTGGCAAACTGGGTCGAATATAAACTAATAAAACTAGCATATATTTCCCTGGTAGTCACCTTAGCCACTGTTCTCCGTTTATTTGAACTAAGATGCCTCCTGCTAGCCTAATGTGGCTCAGAGGAGAGGGCACTGCCTTCTAGAAATGAAAGAATGGGGGCAGAGTGAAGAGTACAAAGCGCTCTGTGAGTGCACTTCATAATGATGTAAACAGATCTCAACCAAACAGCACAGTAACCCTCTGCAATAGGGACAATGGTCCCCTCTTACAGAAAAGGAAAATGAGGTACAGAGATACTGACAAGTTAGATCCACAGCCAGTAAGTGATAGTCAGATCAGGTTGATTTCAAAGTCCAAGAGTGCACCATTTTTTTCTGTCCAAACCACCTACCATTCCATATTTCAACTCAGTATAAAGCAAGACTTTCTAAAACTTAGAGCTATCAAATGAATAAATGTCTTTAAAATTTAGGGAACTCATTAAGCAGAATTCACCCAGAGGTCAGAGGAACATGAGAGAATAAAACTGTCAAGGAAGTTGGAAAATAAATTACTCTCTTTGTCAAGATGCTATTTTATAGATTCCCCTCTTTGTTAAAACTCTATGATTATTTACCGATTACAGAAATATAAACACACATATGCATGCATATACAGGAGGTCCTCACAGTGATGAGGTAAAGAATGACAAGTTTAAAACTACATGTGCCCCAAATGCAAGTGTACATGATAATTACAATACTACTACTATTAATACTACTACAACTAGTAGTGAAACTTCTAAACTATGCCAGGAGATGTCCTTAACACATTTCATACATTATCTCATTTAATGGGCATAATAATCTCTGCCTTACAGAGATGTTATAAGAATTAACTTAATATGTAAACTGCTTAGAACAGTGGCTGACATATAGTAAGTGTTGAACAAACATTAATTGTTCTTACTACTACTATTAACCCCTTGAACCAAGGAATATAATAGAACACCAATAAACCACATGTACTGGAGACTATAAATTCAGTAAGGAAGTAGGGAAAAAGAAGAGAAAAGAGAGGAGTGAGCAAGGTGGCTTACTATTTATTACAATGTGGGTAAAGGAAAATTGGTGTTTTTAAAGCACTATTTGTCATAATCCAGAGTAAATAAGCTTTGATTTCCTCATCCTTAAAAGGGGAATGATTATAGCCCTTACCTCACAGAGTTGTTTTGAAGATTATATAATATCATGCACCCAAAGCACAAATTCTAGTGCTTGGTAAAAGGATGACTTAAAAAATTTCCCAAGTATTTAAAATAATTGAGATTCACAAATTAACATAAAACACAGGATATTTTCTTTGTTCTGCCTCCTTTCCCTCCTACATACCATTCTATTGAATCTTATACAGCTTATCAGAAAAAAAGAAAACGAAGATATGTGTTATTCCAAAATAAACTTTCAGGATTTCCCTGGAGGTCCAGTGGTTAGGACTCACGCTTTCACTGGTGAGGGCACAGTTTCAGTCCCTGGTCGGGGAACTAAGATCCCGCAAGACACGTGGTGTGGACAAACACACACACACACACACACAAAATAAACTTTCATGATTCTACCAAAAATATAATTTAATAAGAATTCATTGAGCATTTATTATGCTATGACAGTAGTTGTGAGGGTCACAGGAGTATATGAAAAAACATAGCATGGGAAAGGCATAGTATGATGTAGTTGGAAGTACCTGGCTTGGAATCCCATACATACCATTGTACTATCTATGTGATTTCAGGCCAGTGTTTTAACTACTCTGGGCCTCAGTTTTTCCCATCCATAAAAATGAGAATGATAGGGGCTTCCCTGGTGGCACAGTAGTTGAGAGTCCACCTGCCGATGCAGGGGACAGGGGTTCGTGCCCCGGTCCGGGAAGATCCCACATGCCACAGAGCGGCTGGGCCCGTGAGCCATGGCCGCTGAGCCTGCGTGTCCGGAGCCTGTGCTCCACAACGGGAGAGGCCACAACAGTGAGAAGCCTGCGTACCACAAAAAAAAAAAAAAAAAAAAAAGGGAATGATAATAGTATCCATCACATAAGGTAGCTGTGAGGATTAAAATTATCCATGATAAGTGTTGGTACATAGTAAGCATTCCATGTATGTCAACCATTGCATATATTTATATAAATGACAAAAATTTCTAAATATATATTAGGATACACTGTCTAACAATTTTTATGTGCACTTAGGGTAACAAAATAAAATATTTAAAATAAAAATTGGCAGGAAAATTCTATAATTTAAGAACACTCACATACACACACACAAAATGTAGCTCCTAAGAACTTCTCATTTTGATGGGAATACAATACTTGCACATAAGTAACAACCAAAATCAATAAACACTTGTGAATATATTAAAATGTGTGAGATCTCAATTCTAAAAAAGTGAGTTCAATATGCAACTTACACTCCCTGGATGTAGCCCACACTAACAGCTCTCTGAGGGCCACGACCACATCTCCCCCATTCCACATTTGACTTCCAGCACCTCACACTGTGTCTATCACAAAGTCCTTGTCAACGCATTCATTGAATAAATGAAAAAAATACAAAAATTATGGTTATAAAGTCTATTGTGGCACCATGAGACATGTTTATGTTACTCTATTCAAGAGAAAAATCACAATATATCATTCTAACTACAGATTACTAAATACACTATAAGGAATTAAAAGAAAAAGGAAGTTGAATTGTCAATACTGTCACATGTTTTGTTTTGACCCACAGAATTTGAAGACATCTTAAATACATACTGGCCCAATGTGCTCATATTCCAGACAAAGAATGATGCCTAGAGAAGACAATTGATTTACTCAAGTTTATCAAATGGCAGATTTCTTATTTCTTAGTCTCTTGGGCTTTTTCCTACTAGACCACACTGCCTCTCACTGTTGTGGCCTCTCCCGTTGTGGAGCACAGGCTCCGGACGCGCAGGCTCAGCGGCCATGGCTCACGGGCCCAGCCGCTCCGCGGCATGTGGGATCTTCCCGGACCGGGGCACGAACCCGTGTCCCCTACATCGGCAGGCGGACTCTCAACCACTGCTCCACCAGGGAAGCCCTCTAGTCCTTCTTTATACTCACCCCTCACTCTGCTCATTTTTTCTCTCTCTCTCCCTCTTCATGTCACACACACACACACACACACACACACACAAGTACTTGCTTTAAGTGAATTTTATTTTTGTCTCTTTATTCAAGATTTGTTCATAAATTCAGGGAAAATAATCCCTCTATATTGCCCATCATAATATAGGGCACATAGAATATTTTTAATAAATATGTATTTGAAGACTGATTTCCTTTGATGAAATTAGTATAGGGTTTCAAAAGATAAGATTTTTGAGATCTGAAGGGAGGGAAAGAGTAGAGGCCATTTAAATTGATGAAAATTCAGCTACATTCTCATAAAAAGTATTTATACTACACTTACCATATTAGGCCCTAGGAATACAATAGTTAACAAACTTACACTGTCCCTGTTCTCACAGAAACCTCTGTGTAGTAGGAGAGGCAGGCATTAATTACTTAAATAGTTTGTACTAGCAATGTATAATTATACACTGAAAAAAGTCTTCTGAAGTAAATGAACATGGTTCTTGAAAGCATATAATAAAAGAATCTTTCACTAGGAAGTGGTGTTTGAGTTTGAGGTCTGAAGGATAAATAAGAATTAGGGGATGACAGGAATGAGTATAACATGATGAATGAAAGCTCAGTGAGGAGACTATCTGATTAGAGTGATGGGTACCTAGTGGTGAGGAAAGGGGTGTGGGAAGAATGATACTGGAAATAAGGATGGACAGATGGATGGGAAGGAGGCCAGATTACGAAGGACCGTGAAGATAAATGGAAAATGTTAGCAAAAATAGGAGCCATTAAATAATAGTAAAAATAAAGGTAACAGAAGATACATGTGTATATATAGTTATACGATAAATATTTATGTAATAAATAACCAGATTAAAAAATGGACATTATCTTCTTTATTATCTCCATGTTTACAGTTGAGAAAACAGGCTCAGAGATGCAAGATATGTTCCTGGAATACGCCAATTGATAAGTGCTGACTTCAACGCATGCCGGCCTGCATTTCAGTAAAGGTTTTCCAGAAGAGGACTGAAGTGATGACAGCTGATGATGGCTTATAGAATGCACTGGAGGAACTAGAGCCAAGGCCTGTTTCTGAATCCAAATGTGAAGAAATCTGGGCCTTAGACCAGAGTATTGGTCATGGGAATGGAGAAATAGGGTCAAAGTAGGGGAGAAAACCAAAACCAAAAAAACAGATGACTGGGTAGATTGGGGAATGAAGACAAAAAGTTAGTTGACTATGACTTCACTATACTGAATTTTGATGATTTGGAAATAGAAGGTACCATTGTCTCTAGAGGAAAATTTTGATACGAAGCTATTTTTCTAGGAGGGAAGTGTTAAATTAGGTAAAGGAAGGTCTGTTGAAATTAGACAGGGCTAGTAAGACTATAAAACTGATTTTAAAAACGAAGTTAGTAACTCAAGGTTCAAATTTGTCTGAAATGGGCTTTCAAATATTCATCAGTATTTATGACTAAATGTCAAATGTATCCAACTAACACATATGTTAAAATGCACACTGCACATCTTACTTTTGACTAATGAGATTTCAAATGCATCCTGATTCACTCCCGTTTACAGAAGGAAATTAAAAAATTGATTGGTTACTTCCTTCACTGCCTGTGGACACCTTGATTGGCCAGCTGCCGGTGGCTAGGCAACCGGGCGGAGAATCTTTGGAACAAGTAGCAGACTTCATCACAGCAGGAGCCGTGAGGCAAGAAGCTCTGGGATCAATTAAAATGCCAGGCTTTTCCAGGCTGGTTTCCAGCGCATCTGTGCATGATTCCACATAAATTTAGGGAATTAGAGATCAGACAAAGGTAAACATTTCTGTGCTTTGCTTAGCATTGATTTAGAATGAGAGGATGAAATATGCTACAGTCATTCAGCCTGGAGGGGGTTTACACCTTCAGCTGATTTTTTCTCCCTCAATTGCTTTATTATTTTAGGTATGTTGTAATCCAAGGCTGCTTAAATCATCTGTGTGTTTCTTTGAGGAGGGGAAGAGAAAAAGAAACAAAGGAAAAACCAGTTCTTAGTTTCATAGACTAAACAGTAGAATATGACTCATTCTTTAAATTCATAGTCACACTTCTGAAAGAAAAAAATTATTAATGCTCTTTATTTTCCAGGTATTTGGTCTCCTGACCTTGGCTTAGATAAAAAGCTCATTTATGTCCCCATAGAGAAGGAAAGACATTTTCTCTTTAAGAGTCTATAAAAGTCTGACATTTGCAGAAACTTCTCCACTTCTATTTTTTATTTTCTTATTTTATCTATCCCTTAGAGTCCATAGTTACGGCTGTTTCCCTAGGCAGAAGGTGTTGTATTGCCTGTGTGCTGGGGAGGGGTTGAACTTCCACAGACTCCTCTATACCTGGGCTGAGGTAGGGTGTTGGAGGTGAAGCTCTGAGGTAGCAAGCATCAAGACAAAAACAGTTCACAGAGATGGAGAAAGTGCAGACAAGAAACTGGAAGACAAAGACTAGGCAAATACCATGAAGTGCAAACAATAATCTTTTACATCCTATAGAAAAAGACAGTCACAGACATAGCACAGATTTACATTTTTATTAAACAACAGAAAAAGCAGAAAAACATCAGCTTTGTTTCACTAAGCATAATACTCTCGAGGTCCAACCATATTGTTGCAAAAGACAGAATTTCATTCTTTTTTATGGCTGAGTAATATTCCATTGTATGTATGTATTTATGTGTGTGTATATATATATGTATATCAATCTTCTTTATCCATTCATCTGTTGATGAATACTTAGGTTGCTCCCATAGTTTGGGTATTGTAAATAATGCAGGTGGAGAAAGACAAATACTCTATGTTATCACTTATATTTATATTCTAAAATATAAAACAAACAAATGTATATAACACAATAGGCACAGACTCACAGATATAGAGAACAAACCAGTGGAGAGAGGGAAGGGGGGAGGGGGGAGATAAGGGTATGGGATTAAGACATACAAACTACTGTGTATAAAATAAATAAGCAACAAGGATATATGGTACAGCACAAGGAAATATAGCCATTATTTTGTCATAACTTTAAATAGAGTATAAGCTATAAAAATGTTGAGTCACTACATTGTACACCTGAAAATAATATAATATTGTAAATCAACTATACTTCAATGAAAAAAGAAATGAAAAGAAAGCCATCAGCTTTGGCTACATATTTAATGTGGAATTACACATGGGGCTTTGAGGTAAGTTCTCTGTGAACTTGACCAACTCATTATCTCCTAGCCCCTACACCAGTAACAAGTTTTGGAAAAGAAAACCTCCAAAGTTGTTTTCATATTTATAGTTTTTAAATTCTATGAATTATTTTTTTGCAGGGACCTATATTTTTATTTCTCTTGGGTAAACATCAAGGAGTAGAATCACTGAGTCATACCGTACAAATACATTTAACTTTGTAAAGTTTGCCATACTGTTTTCCCAAAGTGGCTAAAATTTTTGTCTCCACACCAGCAATGAATGAGTTTTACTTTCCCCACAAACTCAACAACAGTTGGTAATGTCAGTATTTTAAAATTTTACTCATTCTGGTCTGTATGCAGTGGTATCACATTTTGGGTTTAATCTACATTTATCTGATGACTACTGATGTTGAACATCTTTTTTGTAAAAGTGAATTTTTGATCACTTTATGAATTTTAAAAATTTAGGTACAAAAATAAGTTTGTTTAGAATGAGAAAAGAAATCACACAAATTGCAAGTCTTACAGTTTTAGAAATAGTAAATCATTCTAGTGATTTAAACCATTTATCATTATGAAGTGACCCACTTTAATATAATGCTTTCTGTCTGAAAGTCTACTTGTCTACACCTATTTTCTTTTTCCATGGTATGTTTTTTCTCATTCTTTTACTTTCAACCTTTTGTTTTCAATATTATTCTTATAAACAGCTTATAATGGGTAAATTCTATGTGAAAAATCTTTGTCTTTTAACTGGAGCATTTAAGGTTTTAGAAAAGCAAGGAAGGAAATGAGTATTTGTAGAGCAACTAGGGCTGGGCTCAAAGCTGTACACCTATTTTATTTTTTAATTCTTACAACAACCCTGAGAGGAAGATACTGTCTATTCTGCAAGTGAGGAGCCTGATGTCCCATAACATGCCAAAGGTTCCATAGTGATGAATGACAAAGCTCCTGTTTTTTCTGACTCTCAAGCCCATATTCTTTCCGGCTGATCACACATAATTCTCTCCCTCTCAAGAAATCTTATACAATGAGAATTATCTGCCTAAAGTTAGACTTAAATCAATCATTCATTCTGTATGTAATTTAGGCATAATTATAGTATAATGTAAATCTATAATGACCACTTCCAGGAGAACACATAAGCTTAAGAAAATTTCAGTTTAACTCTCTCCTGCCATTTGGTCTCAACAAAGACCATAAGAGAAATGGTAATCTCCCAACAGAACACAATATGTGAAAAAGTTAAGACTTGGACTCTTGAGTCTAATGTTCCAACTCTAGGTACCTTAAGAGTAATGTCATACAGCTCTTGCCAAAGTACACAGTGAAATGTTTTAACAAGAGAGCAAGTGGAGGTTTAAAACTCAAGCAACTTGTAGAAGGGTATTTTAATTTTCTGTCATCCACAAGTGCCTGTAACTAATGCTGCTTATATGCAGTTGGCATATTTATGACTTGAGTTCCTTTCTTATATCCACTCTTCACTTTTTTTTCCTATGTATTAGCAGTGCTCAGACACATGTGCGAACTAACTGCAATTCAGTGGAAGCTGAAAAATTGTTCAAAGAGATATCAATAAAAGAATAATTTCCAAATAGCAGCGATTACTTCTGCCACATTCTTTGTGATGATATAAATCTAATTTAGGAAATTCTTCATTAGCTTAGAAAAATTCTGCTTCCTCCTTAAAGGAATTGTTTTGGTTTTTATTGTTTTTTTAAATAAGGGAGTTTCTCA